AATATATATATATATATATATATATATATATATATATATATGAGGAAGGAAATAAGGACGCTGTTGTCCACGCAGCATTTTTTATTCTGCTCCGCATGCATTGTTTTTGTGTCGTGAGGGCCCCGGTGCAACGGCGTGCATCTTCAGGACCACCATGCCATCGTTTTCTGGTTGTCGCTTATGTTTCTTCTCTTTTTTTCTCTCCTTTCTTTTTTCTTTTTTTTTTTGCGTGCGTGCGTGTGTTTCTTGCAGGGTATAGGAAAGCGACACGAGTTTGCGCCCGTGTGCGTGCGTGCGTGCCGTCGTTGAGGGTTTTTGCTCTGCCACTTCCCTACCAGCTATCGCCCTCCGTGTCGCGTTTTATGGGGTGGAGGGCTGATGTCTATCTTTTACAGCTACGTCCTGCGGGACGTGTTGGAGGTGGAGCCGGTGTACTTCCAGGGGCGCGTGGCCGTCACCGCCGCGTCTACGGCTGAAGAGGACACGGCGGGGCCGCTCGACACGCAGGGGCCCTACCATGCAACCTTTGAGGACATTATCATGCATCGCCTCACGGAACGGTATGTGGGGAAGATTGTGCCGGGGTGCGGGCTGTGTGTTGCTATCCACGAGATCCTGCAGTACACAGAGGGCATCGTGCGGGGACCTTCCGCATCGGCGTGGCTTACAGCTCAATTTCGGCTTTGTGTTTTCGCCCCAACGCCAGGGGCACGCCTACGCGCAACGATTAGCGCGCAAACCCGTGAGGGCATTTTTCTCACGCTGGACTTCTTTCAGTTTGTGTTCTTTGTGCCTGGTGACCTACTTGTTGCGCCCTCGTCCTACCACGAGGAGAGCCGCTGCTGGGCGCTGCACGTGGAGGGCGAGGAGGAAGAGGAGGAGGCGTTGGAGTCTGCGTTAAACCCGTACGTCAACGGCGATGAGGTTGTTGTGAAGGTCGAGCGCGTCATTGTACGGGAGTTGGTGGATTTTCACGGTAATGTTGGGGGGAATGGCAGCGGCAACCTCACCAGCCCCGTTGCGGCCGGGAAAGAGGACTCCTTGGCGTCGCAGTCGCCAATGGAGGTGTGTGGCAGTTTTGTGGGAACCGGCCTTGGCCCTGTGCTGTGGTTTGAGAAGTAACATCACGTGCACGCAACACAGATAACATAAAATGTGTCCCTGCGAAGGGTGCATGCGGGGGCTTCCTCTTCTTATTGTTGTTGTTTTTCTGTGGGGAAGGAGGCGGGCTTGCACGCATCTGGAAGAGCCGCGGCTGCGTGTCTGCCGGTCCGTACGCGTTTATGCCATGCGCCCACACCCGCGCTGTCTATCTCTCTCTATCTATCTATCTATCTCTCCCTCCGTTTATTTCCTTTCTGTGAATGTGAACGCTATGCATCTATCTTTACCCCTATATGTAATGTATATATGTATAGTAACGAGGGAAAAGCGGAAAAAGGGAAACAAAAACAAACAAAAAAAAAATGTCAGATAGAAATGGGAGCAACGTTCCAACTACAACAACTGCGGCGCTGATCTTGTCCCCGGATAAATTTAATATTGTGCCGTATGTAAAGGAAGAGTTTGTGGTGCAGATCACTAACGTCTCGTTTGAAACAGTGTTGTTCCGCATGCTCACAACAAGCCCTCTGCGGTACTCGGTGACGCCAACGAAGGGGGTGATCAAGCCAAACGCCTCCATCAGAGTCACGGTGATGCTCAACCGTAGCCGGCTGGAGGAGGAGGAAGTTCAGGGGGGCTTCGACGACTTTCGCGTCCAGTACTGCGTGATTGGGCCTAATGATATCATTGACTCCAACTGCGCAAACGTGCCAGGCATCATCAAGGCGCGGAAGGCGGCGGACAAGAGTCAAGTGCACACGAAAAAATTCCGCTGCCTCCTCGAGGAGTACCCCAAGTCACCGAGCAAACCAGTCCGTGCGGAGCACACCCGCGCCTCCGCGTTGCCGTCAGTCCCCACCGAGGGAACCCCAGTTCCCCAGAAGCGCGCGGACAGCTCGAGTCCCCACACCGCTGCCTCCAAGACGCATCTTAGGGAACTGGAGGTCAGCACACTGGCGGAGAAGAACCGGCGTGAACTGGCGCAAAAGCAGGACTCACTGAAAAATAAACTTATGGTAGCACTTCTAGTGGCAGTGGCAGCGGTAATTTTTGGGGTCTGGTCCATGTACGCCTAGGCGTCCCACCTTGGCTCTGCAGTGGGGATAGAGAAAAGAATAGCGGAGAGGGGGAAAACACATAATAGGTGTGTACTAGCGAGAGAGAGAGAGAGAGAGGGCGTGGGGGGAACGCATATATAACGTACATGTATGAATTATTTTTGACTTTGGATTGGGTCAAACAAAACAAAACAAAACGGAGAATAGAATACTTTATTGCTTCTCGCTACTTTTTTTTTCGTCCTTTTGTTTTGTTTGTTGTTTATGTTTGTATTTCTGCTTTTCGCCTGCTATCCCTTATTTTATGGCGATGCGGTGGCTGGGGAATGGGGCGCCATCCGCGGGCCCTTGTGAAGGGCGTGGCGCTGCTAAATTAGGTGAGGAGGAGGACGGACGGAGCACAGCTACAAGCCTGACACTTTTGCGTCTATTTGTGTGTGTGTGTGTAAAAGCGGGAGTACGTGCGACGTGGCATGTTGGCAAAATATGAAAGAGGGGCCTTCACACAGACGGCAAAAAAAAAGGAAAAAAGACGGAGCGCAGGCATTTAAAAAACGAGTCATTACAAAACGAAAGAGGAAAAAAAAAGTTTTGAAGGGGGGAGAGGTGAAAGAAAAGGTAAGAGCAGGAAAAGAATAAAAGGCAGCGGACGAGTCTGTGGTCCGCCACGTAGTTATCTTCGTCATCTCCGCTGCCATTGCCGACAATGCAAGGATGTATTTTGCATTTGCACTTCATTTGTTTTCTTTTTGCTTGTGTTTGTTTTTTTTTGTTGTCTTGGCAGTTTTTTTGTTGTTGCGTGTGTTTTTCCCCCCACCACCCTGCCAGGCAACGAGGTTGATTCTCCTTCTCTCATCCACTCCTCTTCTGTGCGCACTTACGCGTGTATTGCGTCAGCGCCAATGTTTGGCGGCGACCGCCATGGCCATGTGTAGCTCATCGTTATACATCGCCGGGCATATGCAGGCGTGGGGGAAAGGGGGCACGCCTTGCACTGACGCGTGTATGTATGCAGACCCAGCCAGCCCTGCAATACACTCAACACATGTATAATACGCATGTGTGTGGTGTATAAATGTGTATGGAATTGCCTCCGTGTTGTCGTTTTTTTTTTATTATTATTATTTTTTTTTTGTGTGTGTGGGAGCGCAAAAGGGGGGAAGTCCACCACTGTGGTGAGTAGTAACGACTTTATCTAGCGATGTCTCGCCGACGTCACAGAGCAAACAAGACGGCACTAGCAGACAGCAGTAACCCGCAGTCGAAAAGCGCGGAGGAGAAGCATGAAAACAACACAAGGGCGCCATTAACGGTGGCATCCAAGCGTCCGTCGACCACGTTGAGGTCCCCGCCGGGAGAGAAGCCACCTGGTGAGACGCCCACCTCAAAGGTGGATGCGAATGTGCCGGGGAATGCGACTGCGTCAGAAGAAAAAAAAACGCCTTCAGCAGCGAGGCGCGCAGGTGGTCCAGTGAGAGAAGTTCGTGTGGGCGGATGGGTCAGGAGGCTGCTGGCGTTGATGTTCGCAAAGGAGGAGTTTGCCGAGACCCCCGTGGTCAGGGAGGTGACCTCCGAGCAGGTGCGCACCTTCAAGCTGGTGGATCGCCTTCTCCCGCCGTTTGCGAAGCGGCCGGTGTTTTACGCCGTGGACTTTTTTACCACCCGTCGTGTGATGTTCGTCTTGCTGTTTATTGCCGTGCTCCTCGTGTACTACAACTTCCATGAGGATGTGTCCACCTTCACCGCTTCTTTTGTCGTCGCGGATGAGAATCGTCCGGGGGTACGCTTCATGCAGACGCACAAAATGCGCCGTAGGCATCCCGTGATGATCATCCCGGGATTCATCTCCACCGCACTCGAGGTTTGGAAGGACAACCTGAGGTGCGTGGAGGCGCAACGTTCGATAGCGTCTAACTTTCGTCAGCGTATGTTTGGCCCGCGGATGCTATTCATGATTCTTATTGATCCTCTGTGCTACTTCACTCTCTTTTCGCTGGACAAGCACACCGGCTTCGACCCACCGGGAGTAAAGATCCGTCCTGACATGGGCTTCGGTGCCTCCGACTTTTTTATGCCAGGGTACTGGGTGTGGGCCAAGGTGCTGCTTAACCTTGCCGACATCGGCTACGACCCACAGAATGTGGGGGTCTTCTCCTACGATTGGAGGCTGTCGCCACGTCGCATGCATCAACGTGACGGATACTACTATCACCTCCGCAACCAACTTCTATACTTGTATCAAAAAAATGAGGACAAAGTGGTGATTATTTCCCACAGCTATGGCACCGACGTTCTCATTGATTTTCTCCGTTGGTCGGACGAGCATGAGGCAGGATGGGTGAATAGATACATAGCATTCTGGGTGAATCTTGGAGGGCCGGCGTTGGGAGTGGCGAAGTCGGTGTCCGCCGTGCTCACAGGGGATGCGAAAGACACCCTCACACTTCCAGGTCCCGTGCGTCAGTTACTTGACTCACATGTTTCACGCGCCCTTCGCACTGAGGCTATGCGCACGTGGTCCTGCTTGTCAGCCATGTACCCATTTGGTTGTGATGCCGTGTTTCCGGACGTATTAACCCTTTCCAACGGCACCCGGCTTACCCCAAGGCAGGTGCTCCAGCTCACCGCGCAGCGACTGCGTGAAAGCGGCCATGAGGCGCAGAAGGAGCACATTGAGAACATCCTGGAACACTTTGACGAGTTGCCCTCGCTTCCAGCGTCACCAAATTTGACGGTGGTTTGTATGTATGGTGTGGATAGGCCAACGGAGGTGGGGTACATTTTGGACAACGATGAACTTGTCAACCTTTCATACCAGCAGCCGGGGCGTGCCATCAACGGCGTGGTCTTTGGCAATGGCGACGGAACTGTGCCACTCATGTCACTTGGCTACATGTGCCGCGCAGAGAATGGCTGGAAGCAAAATGTGGGCCGCGTCATCACGCGGGAGCACAAGCACAGTGCCGGATCCATGGTGGAGTTGCGCGGGGGTTCGAACAGTGGCGATCATGTCGACATGCTCGGCAACTACGAACTCATTGAAACAATACTTAAAATTGTCTCTGGCAATGCGGAAAACGGTGAGGTGACGGATCGCATGTACTCTGATGTGGATGCGCAGATCGCGGCGGCCACGGAGTGCACCACGAAGAAGAACTTAAGCCCCCTCCGACGGCAGCCGGCGTAGAGGAAATAGAACGCACGGACAGGCGTAGACACACACCATACCGCTGTCGCCACGAAGATGCCCATATTTTTGTTATTACCACAAACTCTTTAATGTAAAGGAGATGTCATTGAGCTGACGCAAAGAGTTCTCGCTTATTTTTGTTGTTGTTGTTTTATTTTCATGGTGCGCGTTGTGTGTTTGCCTGCACGTTGATTTGCCTGTTTTCCTCGCTTCATTTCTTTCTTTCCGTCTACTTTGTGTGTGGCTGGGGTCTGGCGCCGCCGCCTTTTTTCTTTTTTTTTTTTTTTGGTCCCGCCTTCACCGACGTTGGCAGCGACACGCACTAAAGACTGCACCACCCTCTTTTTTTTTTTTGCTTGTCGTTCTCTTTTCTCCCCTTCAACCAATCGGTCATTGCGCCGAGGCTGCGTAGGCGTGTAGAGGCGGTCTCCGGCGTCGTGGCCACCGAAGAAGCAGGCGCGCTGAGGGAACGGCCCTGGACGTAGACGCAAACCCACATGATGGGAAAGACGGAAGTAAAAAAATCAATGGAAAAAAGTGCCGGGGGGTCAAAGATGAGGCAGCCGCACGCCTTGACGGCACCTCCGCGAAAAAAAGAGACATCATGGCAGAAGACGTGGAAAAGGCCGGCGAAACCAACGACGTCAGAGGCGTCTAAAAAGGACGAAGCTGCGACAGCTGCGGTACCGCCACGGGACGAGGCCAGGAAGCTGCTGGAGGGTAACCAGGAGGCTGCAGAAGAAACCGTTACGCTATCTTCCTCCTCCTTTTCCGCCTCGTCCAATGTGAGCAGGTTAACCTCATCCTCCTCTCACGCCCCGGGATACGGCACGGCGCTCACTGCGGCAGAAAAGCAGGCCGCAGGGGTCTCGCCCGCGACCACACAGACGGAAGAGGAAATTGTGACGGTTGTCCCGACCGACGCCTTGACGAACAAGCTACGGAACGAACAAGTGCTGTATTACCTTGAGGCGGCTCGCTCGCTGCGGCAGGTTACTACCAGCATGGAGGCCCAGGAGCGGTTCATGGGAAACGAGATTCAACGGGGGAGTGCTCTGCATGACGCCAAGAAGACACAGCTCGCTGAGAGACAGAAGGTGCTTGACCGCCTTCAGGAATCCACGCTGCGGCTCACACGGCAACTGCGGGGTCTGGACAGTGAAAATGATCGTATGCGAGACCGGCTTGCGCAGCTTCAGGCCGCCGTTGACAAGGCTGGGAGTAGGAGGGCGGCCCCCTTCCATGTACAACGGGATGTGAACCCGGTAGTGCGCCACAACTCTATGTTGTCACGCCAGCGTGTCAGCGACAGCAGTGGTGGCGGGGCGCCTATCGTCCCCGTGCGGAAGTCTCTCTCCTTTACCAGGAATGCCTTGATGGCGGAACTCGACGCCTACAGTCGAAAACTTCGAACGGCTGAGGAACAGCATGAAGAGTTGCTAAAGGAACTTCAGCTTGCCGTCGCGAAAAGGAAAGGGCGCGCCGCCGCCTACAGCAGCTCTGGAGTCTCATGGGCTTTCTCTGGGTATCCGAAAACGGGAAGCAGGGAGAGTTCCTTCTTCACCGACAGCGTGAAGGAGTCCAGTGCCCTTCAGCAGTTGGAGCGGATGATAGACGACAGTCTTGTGCGTTGTTTATAAAGGCCTGTGGCTGCAGGAAGTGCAACAACGCACATGGAAAAAAAGAAAAGGAAAAAAAAATGACGGTACAAACACCTGTAGAAGCAGCAGGATCCATTGCTTACTTGTGATGCCGAAACATCACCCACACTAGAGATACATGCATGCATATAAACATACATTTACGCAATTGCTTGAAAGGGGAGGAAACATGTGTGACGTCTTTGGCTTTCCATTTGTTTGTTTGTTTTTTGTTTCTTTTGCGTCATAGTTATGTTGCTGGTTTTTATTGTTGTTTATTTATTTATTCGGTTTTTTCCCCCTTTCAAGCTTGGCCTCTACGCCAACTGTTGTGCGCCCTCACGGTGGAAACGGTCCGGAGAGGGGGATCAGAGCGCTTCAACAAAAGACAAAAGTAACACATCTGCGCCACGAGAAGAAGTGAAGGCGATGTGCGGTGGTGAGTACGGCTGCACTGACAGTCTCTCTTTCCTCCGCAGTATGCGATGCAGCAGGTTGCCATCTCAGACAGGCCTGCATAGAAAAGCAGGTTTATGCATGCGTACATTGTTTAATGCATTGGGGAAGCGGCGCTGGTGGGTGCCGATGTCCAAACCGACGTCTAAACCTTTTCTGTCATCTCCGCCTCTCTCTCTCTCTCTCTCTCTCTCTCT